CCTGTAAATGCCATTGGTATATGTTAATTACATATTGTTACTGTTGAATTTTTGGGATTGATATTGAACTGTCATCATTGAATGAGCTGCTAGAACTTGTTTATGCTGTGTTTTGGAGCATATTTTAACTCTGTTAATGTTCTGGAGCATGTTTGATGTGTACATTGTGTCTTCATAGCTGTTTATTCCCAACAGTATTGCTTCTGATCCATCCTGGATGAAGTGTTTTGTGTACCCATCCTCCTTGTTTTGTTGCGTTCTATTTTGCACATTCAAACGTGACTTTCTTCAACTTCAAGGCGATCAGCGGGAGAATGCATCTGCCTTTCTTGTTCAGGTGATCACTCTTAGCTGTTTCATTACTAGATCTCGTCACATTCAAGAACGGCTTATTAAAAACCTGTTTAAGCCACCTTATTATCTCATTAAAATGAAAAATATGACCGTTATCCATCAGATTAACATTTAAATTCAAATTTTATATCTCTTATGTGGGCCCTAATAACGGCTATATTTTTCATTTTCATTCTACAATAATTTGATTCGAACAGGGGCTAAAAAAGAAAACTGTAGAAAAAATGAAAAATACATTGGAGTAAATTGGAGGAAAGTTGTACTAAAGGCCATCCTGGGGAAGTAAGGAGATGAATATAAACAACTAACATTAGATGGTATTCTACATTCCTTGATGTTTACTATTTTAATCTTTTCGTTTTGAAAACGGGGTGGGATCGTGAAAAAGGAGTACATCAAAATTCACACTAGTTATTTAGACTTGTCTAAATGCTATACATGATATGCCGACGTACTTATTGTAGTTAATAGTACTTGTATGCTCGTCTAATATGCACTTTGTTTCTGTTATCTCAGAGTTCTACTAGTAGTGCCTGATATTTACAGGATTTCTTCTAGTGTTCAGGACTTGTGGCTTTCGAGATTTGAATGTTTTCCTCTAGATTGTACCAGTGTTTATATTCCACATTTGTGATTTTAATGTATCAGTTATATGGTAAGTAGGCTTCAACTAGGGGGTAAATAAGATAGCCCCTTTATTATGAATTCATCTCTCCCAAGTGGGATCCAAACATACAACCATGGTTGGTGAGCGTCCCAATGTTATATTTCACTAGGCGAAGTAAGCACAAGTAAAGTTGAAGGCCCCTTTATTATGAATTCATCTCTCCCAAGTGGGATCCAAACATACAACCATGGTTGGTGGGCGTCCCAATGTTATATTTCACTAGGCGAAGTAAGCACAAGTAAAGTTGAAGAATTACAAGAGTCATGAATTTGGTAATTTGACACCAAGAGGCAGTAATATATAGTGAGACAATTCTATATGGTAAGATTGTACATTCAAACGCTTCAAATTTTGGATTACGCAAGTAACATCACTTCGGATACCATGTTGTCACTAAAGCATATGCCATGGGATCCTTATTTGGTTCAAAAAATGTAGTGTTTTCTTTAATATTTAATAGTAGTGGTGGATAGCGATACACGGTGATGAATAAGAACCGTGCTACAGCAACAGAAAGAAAATCAACCGAAGCTCTGACCGACTCTCACAATAAGGGGTGGGGTCAACTTTTTTTTTTGCAATTTTTTATTCTTGCGGAGCCCAAAGCATGCGAGAGTGTGTGAAAGCATATGTTGGTTTTTTCGGGAAGCTTTTTTCGATGAATAATGTAGTATATTCTGAAAAAATAAAAAGCCAAGAAATTTTCTTGAAAAATCTGTCCAAGACAGATATTTTGACATGTGACGGAACAGATATCTTGTGTTTTTCGAAAATGTCCACATAATGTGACTTTGCATAACCAGAAGGTTACAATAGTCAGAAAATGACCTGCACAACATGCATGGGAAGACAAAATGT